TCAATGTACCCCAAGGTCTTCGGGAATATAATCAGGCCATACAGACCCAGTGCAAACATGTCTATTACCTTCCACTCATCGGGATGGTCCTTCATCAGTTGCTTGATATAAAGCCAGGCAATTCCTTCCCCACTGCCTTTACATCGAGCTCGGTCTGTTACCCATCTTTCGTCAACCCCAGCAACCTTGGCTAGTGCACTCTTGAAAGGCTGACTTTTGATGTGTTTAATATAAGCTCGCCTCAGTCTGATATTTTCACAGTGCAACAGTGTAGTGTACTCTTCAATTGTGGGCACCATGTCCTCCTGATTAAAAGTGAAGCAACTGTATCCCGGGTTCCAGAACTGAACCAAGGCTCTGAACAAGGGCTCATCAGTCTTGATTTGAAGCAACAATGCAATGTCACCGTACCGTTGGCTGAACTTCTGTTTCTGATCATTCTTCCAACTGCCCTAGATGTCCCGAAGCTCTTGCATGTCGTTCTGCTTTAGGCTGATAGAGGCGTAGCTAACCAGCTCTGACACATAGCTTCCTTGAAGACTATCTCTATTTTCCTTCTGATTCTTCTCGGACCATAGTCGTACCTCGGGGTTTTTAATCTCTTGTATTACAATACCTTTATCCATTAATTCAGATTATTTTGTGTAACAAACACCTTTTTAGGGATCAATGGCCTCTTGTTATGATGCAAATGCTTTAAAACCAAACACAAAGGCAAACAATTAGTAAAATAAAAGTAAATAGAAATAAATAAAAATAATAAAAAAAATGGCAAGAAAAAAACATAAGAGAAAAAAAACATGGTTAGGAAAGAAATGTCCTAGGTTTTGGAATGTGGTTTTGGGGTAGGCTCTATTTCTTCAAATTCTTCCAGTTTAGGCTCTAAAAAATGGTACCCGAGTTCTCCTTGCTGGTGCCCCCTTGGGCTTACCAAACCCTTAGTCCTAAACCCATCACAGGCTTGTGTGGACTAAGTTAAACTCGAGAGGACGCATTCCCTTATGTCTATGCGGAGAATAAATTCACACGAAGACATAAGGTATATGAATCCCGAAGGCTACTTGCTTGGCATATGCGGTGAATAAATTCACACGAATGTGTCGCTTTCACCCCACTTAAAACGGGTTCGGAGCTCGGGTTTAGAGCCTTGAATGAAAAAGTTTGGAAAGCTGAAATCACTAGAAAACGATCAGTTCAACTATTTACTCGAAAAAATATAATCAAAGGTAAGTAATAAGGATCGAAATGTTACCTTAAAATTTAAACTTACTCTTTTCGTTAAAAAGACAACTGGAAATTACCTTAGCCTAACTCACTTACCTGTGTCCCCAGCGGAGTCGCCAAGCTGTCGCAACCGTCTTTCGGTTGGGCCCCAGAATTGGGCTTCGACTTAGGAGAATGTGGATTGGAGTCGCCACCGATCTTTTATTTTAAGATAAATAGGTAGATCGGATACCTTATTTCTTATCTGATCTGCATCTTACCAAAGATGTGTTGGATTCGGGAGTTGGTTACAGTCAATGAAGGGTTAGCACCCTTAAACTGCCCTTTCGGTACTATGTAATTTTCAGTTGTCTTAAATTAAGAAAATTATAAGTTAAAATTAAAAGGTAAAAATACGATCCCAATTACTTACCTTATATTGATTTGAAAATATCCTTAAAAAATCGAGAAATGTGTTAGATAAACAAGGTAAAGAAAACAAATAAGATAAAGAGAATAAAATAAAAGGAAAAAAATAAAATAAATAAATAAGATAAGGAAAAAATAGTAAAGTAATAATTATATATAGTAATATTTGAAAAATGAAAAAAATATGTATACATCAGAGTATTAATAAAATAAATAAGCTATATATATATATACAACAAATATCTAAAAATAAAAAAGATACCCTCTCACTTCACCGAAAGTGGGGGGCTTTAGTCAGAAATAAGACAAAAAGAGGAAAGTGAGAGAGACTTTAGTTAGAAATAAAATAAAAAAATGGGTCCTCTAGGTTAGTAATATATAATATAATGTTTAAAAATAATAATAATAAAGACACAAGGTTTTAAAAAATAATATAATAATGAATAAAAAACGAAAATAATAATAAAAATAATATATATATATATAAAGTTATAAGATATATTACGTAAATAAAGAAATAATCAAATAAAAATAATTAAGAATATATGTATTAATAATAGGTATATAAATAAACTATTAAAAGTATAAAAAATATATATAACTAGATAAAGATAATTACAATATATATAGTAATAATATACTTATAAGTAAAATATTAAAGAAACATATATATATATATATATATATATATATAAAATATAGTAAAAAATGAAAATATTTATAATATATATATATATATATATATATATATATATATATATATATATATATATATATACGTATAATAATAATAACATGAATAATAAAAATAAATGAATAAAATATCCATATAATAAATAAAGGGACTAATATAGATTTTTAAAAAGCTCTTCCCCTCCTTTAACCGAAAATCAAACCGGTTTTTCAAAATAAACCTCGGGGAAGCGTAGATCTAAGAGAAAAGATCTTGGTTCCCTTGTGTTCATCGGCCTTTTCAAAGTAAAAACGGAAAAGAAGAAGTGAAACAAGCCACATGCAAGCAAGAATCGAATCAATATAGGTAAAAATACCTCTTTTATTTCTCTGTTGAAAATTACAAGCGAATCTTTGGAGCTTCTTGTGTATTTGCTTTGGGTATCTTTTTTTTGTGTGCGTAATCCCGTATGATAATCGTGTCTTACAAATGGGAAGGATTACATGTATTTATAGTGAAAAAAAACTAACTAACAATAGAATCCTAATGCAACTAGACTCCTTGCTCGGTTATTGCAACTTTGTTGCTGTGGTTGTTGCTTTAAAAGATATTGTGGTGGAAGAGTCCTCTTAGGAGATGAACTCTTGCTAGTTCTACCTTTTAAGAAAATTGGTGTCTACACTTCTTAAGCTTATTTTGAAGTCCAACAAGAGTCAGTGATCCTTGTTATACTTGTTTAGATAAAATATTAGGAGAGACCTCCAAAAACAAGAACATAGAGAAATTAGTGTTTGGTTGGACTAGTGGAGTGTTTAGCTGTTTTGGAATAAGGTAACACACGTCTATCTTATCTATACTATAGGTATATAATTGTATGCTAGTTTTACTTGGTTGTATAAGTGCTTAAATCATGTTTGGGTTATATACTGCTTGTTATTGGTATGAACGAATTAGACGTTAAACATGCTTGCGTCCATTTTTGAACTTCGATACATTTGAAGAGAGTATCAATACTTGTGTCAGGATATCAATACTAGGGGTAATTATTTGAACATCGAGTCCATTTTTGATATCGGTATTTAAGGACAGTACTAATACCTCAAGGTCAAGTATCGATACTTAAGGGTAGATATAGATACCATCAAAAATGAAAAAGCTATTGAACTTTTCTATGATAGGAGACTCAAGTAAGGAGTCTAGAAATGTAGTAACCAGATAATACAAAGTTTTAAAGCGATAACTTGATTGAATGTGTTTTATAAGCCTAAGAATATTATGACGTGAGATTTCGTAAGACTTATATCTTTATTTGATACTTGACAAACATCAAAGATACTAGACTTACTTATGTACAACATCTAGTCTTGTGTGAAGAATATCTAGATATCCCAAATATGGTGCGATGGTAGTTGAAATGCTAATTTGATGATGTTTTAATGTTATATGACCTAGATTTCACCCGTATCACTATACATGAGTAGACTAGTTGATTGTACATTCTTGATGGATGTATGATCTAGGTCTCACCCGATTTAGTTAGTAGTGTGGGTCATTAGATATACATTTTTATGTATGATCTAGGTCTCACCCGATTTAGTTAGTACTGTGGATCATTAGATGTATATTTTTATGTATGATCTAGGACTCACCCGATTTAGTTAGTAGTGTAGGTCATTTGACACACATTTTTTTATTCATGTGTGATACATGTTTCATCTGAAGAATCAATGTCAAATGTTAAAGAGGTGTGAATCTTGTGAGCTATGGTAATGTCGAATTACACATAACATATGCATGTGTGCTATGATTTGTGATGTATTAATGATTGTTTCTTAATTATACTTGTTAGCATACTTATATCACTATATAAGTGACTATGGAGTTACATGTTATCTATAGAAAATTTCTGAATGTTCCACTCGGTAAGTATGATATTCCGAATTTCTTTATCAAAAGAGTTATAATGTTCTTCATAGAATTTTCTTCTATGGTGGTATAACATAAAAGTATACAATTTAATGAATTAAATGTAAACATGTAATATCATATAGACATCAAACATAAACATCTATTATATATAAAATTATAAAAGATAAATTCTCGAATCGACAAAATATCATTTATCTTTATTTACATTGAAAGTTGAGTATTTTATTTTTATTTGTAAATCTTAAATATTAAAAATTATTTAATCAAATAAGAATTTATATCTGATATCTATTTGAAATTACACCTTTCTTATTTTTAAATTAAATTGAAATTTCAAAACATTGAATTTTAAAAGTTGTGATATTTAATTATCAAAATAGTGGGAATCGCCTAGGTACAATGAAATATTAAGACGGACATGACAGTTAAAAAACAGTGATTCTAGTTTGTTTTACAACATCGTTTTTGTTTTGTCTTTTTATTATTTATTTATTTAATATCACAAGCAATAACTATTGCAATCGTTAATTAATATGGTTATAAGAACGTAAAAATAAAAGTGATAAAAAGAACGTAAAGAAACCGAAGAAGGTCGAACTTGGAGCGGCAATCACAACGCCAAAAGGACAAAACCTGATCTGCTCATTCGCTTTTGCTTTGCCATTTTCTCATTTGTTTCTCAATTTTCTCTCCAGTTTCAAATCAATTTCTTTCTTCCTACTTATATACATACATACATATATATATATATATATCTTCGTCTTCGATCTCTGCATGTAAATCTCATTCTCATGGCTTTAAGACCCAATGCGTCCTTCACGTCCACTTCCATATTTTCTTCTCATCGTGGTTTCCATCTTCGTCTTCTCTTGCTCTTGACCCTCCTCCCATTAACCCTCGCCTTCTTCGCTTTTGTTCTCCAATGGCGTGGCGATCTCAACGACCCCATTCCTTTGTCTCCCGACCCTTTCCACTTCCCCACGATGCCCCATCAGAGATCAGACTCCCGCTCTGGTCGCCGCTCCGCCTCTGAATGCGTCAATTTTTTGGGTCAGAGCAGGACCCCGGTGTTCCCTTATTTCAAGGATTGGAGTTTCGACTTCGGGTCCGATCTCAGGCCTAAGGTTTTGCTGCATGCTAATGCCTATTCTTATCATATGATCAAGGATTTAAATAGCATTATGCTATTAAGAATGTCGCGATTGCAATTTAAATCCATGTGATTTTATTTTTTTTAAATATATTATGGTGCTATTTCTTACAAAAAAATTTTGGGTGGTTTTGGTGCATGCTAGATATGTATTGTTTCAAGTACTTCTGCAGGCTTAGAACAGATAATACCATGGATCTTTTATCACAAGGTTATTGGAGCTTCAGGTTTCTCTCTTTTTGTTGAAGGGAAGGCTGCCTCTCCCATGGTATCAAAAGTCCTAGAATCCATTCCAGTTGAGTATAAATCATTTGTTCCTCGTTTTCGTTTGCAAAACCTATCTCATTTGGTTCTACTGTTTATTTCATCCTTCATTTCATCCTGTTTCTGTTGCCATGTGCAAAACGCATTCTTCTCAGGGAGTTAAAGTGATATACCGAACAAAAGAATTAGAGGAACAACAAGCTAATAGGTCTGTACATTATCTGATTTAATATTATTAATAGGTCTCATTTTCTTTTTTAATACTTCATTTCAATTTTTTTTTGATTAGTGGTGAATACAAAACATTCTTAACTATTTAATAATGAATGATCATTGCCCGAAAAGGTACCTGTTATCTGTCTTAAATGTCTGATCTGATATTGTTTTTTATTGTAGTCGGATCTGGAATGAGACATGGCTGGCAAAATTCTTCTATAAGCCATGTAATTACGAGCTGTTTGTGAAGCAATCGCTTAACATGGAAGTGGCTATTGTAATGGCTAGGGTATGCTATTGTATTTTTATCTCTGCCATAATCCATAAGGTTTAACTCTTTGCCTTACTGTTATTTTGCTTCATTAATTTATAGGATGCTGGCATGGATTGGATTATTCATCTTGATACTGATGAGCTTATACATCCTGCGGGTGCTCGTGAGTACTCTGTCAGACAATCGCTGGCAGATGTACCTGCAGATGTTGATACAGTTGTCTTCTCAAATTATGTAAGGGGATTTTCCTCCATCTTTATTTCCTTCTTTCATTGTTGCTGTCATAGTAGTGTGATTATATCATGTAAAATTTTCAGGAAAGCATTGTTGAGAGGGATGATATAAAGGAACCATTTACTGAGGTAAGATGTTCTCTATTTGTTTCTCATCATCTCATGCTTTGCTTTGTCTAGGTTTATAGCAATATGACTACTATTTGTTTGATGGGAATGTTTAGGTGTGAGTATTACATATTCTATAACTCAAACTTTATTTGAGATTTTTTTCGATTTGAGTAGAGTTTATAAAATTCGAGTCAAGTTGTTTGAGCTTTTGTTTAAATTTAAATTATAAATATTTACAATGTCTTGATATTATTTTATTCTAATCTAAACGATTTTATATAACCATATATATATATCTTCATATTTATTTTCATATATAATATACATATATGGATATATAGAGTTGGGAGACTCACCACGAAGATGAAAATCAATCCATTAATTATTAAAAAATTTGAGTTATTCTAGTATTATTTTATAAACTCAAATTTAAAAAAATTTCAACTCGAGTTTTGTTCACCTTAGGAATGTTATTGGAAACTCTGTGTCAGTAGTTTTTGGTGGACTTAGGATCATATATGTGCATTATGATTCTAAATTCTTATCTTTGCATAGGTCTCCATGTTCAAGAAGAACTATGATCATCTTCCTAAGGATGTGTATTTTGGAAACTACATAGTGGCAACCCATGGCAATTCAAACTACTTTTTGACCTATGGAAATGGGAAATCAGCTGCTCGTGTTCAAGACCATCTTCGTCCTAATGGTGCACATAGATGGCATAACTACAAGAAGAGACCAACGTAAGATATTTCTCCTATTCTATTCATTTTTTTTGGTAAATAAATTGATGTGGTTGAATCAAATTGGTATATAACTACTTTGATTTTATGTAACATATGATAGTGAGATCAAATTGGATGAGGCTGTTGTTCTGCATTACACATACACCAAGTTTTCTGATCTAACTTCGAGGCGTGATCGATGTGGCTGCAAGCCTACAATGGAGGATGTTAAAAGATGTTTCATGTTACAATTTGATAGAGCTGTGAGTTCCCAATTGATGTCTGACATGCGTTTTGGGATTAATTTGCTTATTACAGTTTTATCATACTCTTTATTTCATACAGGCATTCGTAATTGCTTCAACTGCAACGGAAGAGGAAATGCTTCGCTGGTAATTCTTATAGTGACGTTTTATATACTCCGTTTTCGTGTTTTTGGTTTCGAATATAAACCAAATTGAGCTTCTGGTGTACATGATACTGTAAAAAAAAGTGTTTTCGAGGAACTATTCCGAATGGTACTTTCAGTTGGAAGATGTACAAATACATGATATCTCGTATGGTTTTTATGACTTAGGTACCGTGACCATGTGGTGTGGAGTAATAAAGCATTGAACTCCAAGCTTTTGAAGAGGGGAATTTTTACTCGGATTTATTCTCCCATGGCTATAATTCAAGGACTTAGGGAATCTGGTGTTTTTACTTCTGTGGTGCAGTCGGCACATACTTATTTCTTGCGGGACAAGTCATCATCAGTTGAGAGTAGTAACTCTTCTAGCATAATAGATAAACCCGGGATCATTTCTTCCGGGAAGATCGGTTTCGACGAGTCTCGAGCGACTGCCAGAAGGATCTTCGAGATCAATGACGAATTTTCCGGCGATTCAGCAATTCCACCACTTCCTCCTCCGGTCGCGGATGATAACGAGAGATTATATTCATAGTGATTACTTCCTGCCCCATTGTTTCTGAAAAGAGTTTAAATGATACAACTTGACAGTACTAGGTGAGACAAGTTGGTTTTGCAGTTGCAGTGAGGCACTTCCATATTCGGCTTTGTTCGGCTACTCCCGATCATTATCCAAGCGCTGATGTACATTCAGGTTAGATGATAGTAGATTACAGAGTGAAGAGGCATAGAGCACGATTTCGGTTCGACGATTATCGTTGCATCTTGATATAGATATGTTTTGGATGGATGCCACTGTTAATCATAGTCGAAACACATCGCTGCTCATGTTCGTTCACAGATAGATATATGATTTATCATTCAAAATTCAGAAACGGCTGATTGCTGTGTTTCGAGATGACTCATAATATTAAGGATATAAGCAAGAGATAATTAAATAAAATTGCAGCATAGAGATGAATAACATTACTATGAGTTGTAAAATTTAGGCTTCAATTATTTGTCTAATACTAACAGTTCAAAATGTTGTGAATCTTTCGTCAGTGTGATCAACATCTCAAAACCCAAAGTTTGACTTAGGTTAATTCTCATGGAGTGTAGCTGTAAGTTTTAAGTGCTAATCTTGGAGTGTTGCTGTAAGTTTGGTTTGGTTTAGTGATGATTTTGGGCTTAATTTGAATGGTATCTTGAGTTTCCATAAGAGATTGTGTATGCACAGTGATATGAATTTGAGGCATGTTATCTTGATGAGGTACATAATAGCCCGTTTGTTATGCACTCAGTGAGTAGTGAGATGAATTGTGATTTTCGTGTGTTGTATTGGTGGCTTGAAATAAAAAGAGATGTAAAATTTGTTTCCAAGTGTTTGGTATGTCAAAAGGTGAAAGTGGCGAATCAACGTTCATTGAATTTGCTTCAATCGATATGGATTTCATAATAGAAGTGGGAAAGGATTATTATAGACTTCGTCTTGGGTTTGTCATTAACTCTGAAAAATAAAGATGTAATATGGGTGATTGATGATCGATTCTAAAAAGTTGTGTATTTTCTGGTGGTGTGTATAATTTCTCTTTGAAAAAAATTATCGAAGTGGTACATGGTTGAGATTGTGTGTTTGCACGACATCCTTGTATCGATTATTTCATATAGAGATCCATACAACAAGATTCTAGAAGAGTGTGAAAGAAGCTTTAGATACAAAGCTCATTTTTTTACGACTTATCATCTGCAATCAGATGGTCATTCAGTACATGTTATCTAAGTTTTAGAGGACATACTTTACACTGTATTATCAATTTTGATGGTAGTTGGGAGAAGTACTTACCTTTGATAGAATTTTCTTATAATAATAATTTTCCGTCAAGTATTAAGATCAATCCTTTCGCAATTTTATATAGGTGTAAGTATAGGATGTCATTGTGTTGAGCGGAGTTGAACGAGAGTATGATTGTTGGCCCAGACTTATTAGAGAAACAAATATAAGCTGAGGTTGATTTGTGAAAGATAAAAGATAAGATTTGATCAATAGATATTGTACGTTGATATGAAATATCGAAACATTGAGTTTTAAGTTGATGATCGAATTTTCTTGAAAATTTTATTTTGGAAAAAGATGTTGCAATTTGGTTAGAGGGATAAGTTTGATCTTAATTTTCTATAATGATGCCATAGGGAAAGAGATGAAATTGCACAATGAAAGGCTATATACAAGCTACCAATGAATGTAACACTAGAAATAACTTACATCCTTTTAGAAATGTTGCATATCAATTTAATGGTTGAAGGTCACAACAATTCAATTGTTGAGACATGGCAAAACCCTACCACATTTGAATTCCATATCTTTTCTCACCTAGGCTTCTTATCCATTTAGTTTTATAGTGAGCATAGATTCACCTACTATGGCCTGAAACATCTCTTGGAGTGTTGCTGTAAGTTTTAAGTGCTAATCTTGTATATAAGTAGTTCTATAGTAAACTTTTCACTAAGTTTGATCCGGCACATGCATGATCTTACGATCTGAACTGCATTACTCTTTTTCTATGTCTTGCTCCTGTTCTTGTCTATTTTTGTTCTTATTCATATTACAGATATGCACTCTCAGCTTTCCCTTTAGCCAAAACATTGCAAAAACGCATCAACAGATACAAAAACACATTCCACGATTCAAGGAAAAAATATTTAATTATAATCATTATAGAAATAAGAATACATTGATGGAAATAAATGAGTCAAGGTAATTATAGGTGATTAATTTCTTTTGGTTTGAGCAGAGAGTCTTGTCCGTGTTAAAGTCTTCTTCCTCCATAAGGAAACAAAGCTGGCATGTCCGCAACAAGACGCGGAGGCGACTGACTAATTTGATGGAAGTGGAAAGATTTCCGCCGAGCTTGCCCGTTTAAAGGGTCATGAAAGCAATTGGCTGATAATAATTTAATAAAAGTCTGCCCTACATAGTACATATCATCAATTCTTGTAATATTCAAACATGGACTAAAAGTAATTGCAAGTCTACTTACGATACCATTACACTCTTTCATTTTTCTATGCGTCCATTACGGAGTAATCAATTCATGGTCCCTCTTTAAACTACTTCCATCCACAAAATGTCATTTGTGGTGGATATGGACCCTGACCCTAATTATATATATATATATATATATATATATATATATGATGTCTCAAGTTATCTCATTATTGTTATATTTAAAGATTTTGAGTTTAAGCATCAGTGACGGTAGAATATTTGAATGTTAATTGTAAATGGTTTAGTTTTCAAAATATATATACTACTACTTGTAATCATCCTAGATTAATCAATATATATATATAAGGGCATGATTAAATTACACCAGGTGTACAACTAAAAGTTTTATACTTGGAGTAAATGAATCCTAACTCAAATATATATATAAAGGATTTAAATAAATTTCATTGTCCCCTTAAATTAATAAAAAATATAGTTTAGTTCCTACAAACTTATAAAGATACAAGGTTAAACTTCATTTGGCCTCCCTTAAATTGATAGAAATATTGTTCGGTCCCTATTAAATTATAGAAATACAAGTTAATACGCCTTTTTGAGTAAATTATATATCTTATCACACATTTATCTTTGTGTTTCATTCAATTTTTTTCTCAAAATCATATTTAATATTGTATTTTATTTTTGTTTTGTTCACCTGTAGTTAAAAACATTAACAAAAATGATGATATGTTCAGGTATAATAACAATTTTAGTTCTAAAATCTAAGTATTCTATTAATTGAATCATAATTTGAAGTAACTCATCAAATATTTGGACCGAACCTTAAAATTTCCATCGTCCTTCTTCTTCAAACATCACTCTTTCTCGTTAATATTTTGAATTAAAACCTAACATAGAATGTATAAATTTTACTACTAAAATTGTTATTATACTATAATACATCATTGTTTTGGTTAATATTTTAACGAGTGATAAACAGAAAAAAAAAACATAACATTAAATATAATTTTGAAAAAAAAATAATTGAATGATTAAACAGGAACATAAAAATAGATGAATGACAAAAATAAGTAGTTTATCCATAATTATAAAAATGTATTTTGACTACCTAAAATAGTTATAAATCAACTATGACCCTAAGGAAAAATGTTATGGGCGACTTGACCCCGATCTAGCGAATGTTTTATTTATTTTATTTATAAAATCTCTCCTTTTAACTCATGTAAATTTCTTTTTATTAAAAATGTGTATATTAATTTTAATTATTTTATTAATTTTTTCCCAAAAACAACCACTGTTAAAATATTTTTATATTAATTTTTTTATTCCATATTGGGTTTATCATGGGATTTTGTCGGGGAATGTTGCATAATAATCTTTTGGATAAGATTATTGCATTAATTTATTATTAAACTATCACAAGTTTAGTTAAAACAAGATGGCAGATATTGAAACACAAATCAAATCATTTTCTCGAGATAATAATACTGTAAACCTTATTAACCTACACAAGTTAAAGTATAAGTTTTATAAAAAAAATTCTCTACCAGAATTATATAACAACAAAAGAATTGACAGTTAAGATTTTTCAATTGATACCTCTTATTTTATTCAATCGTGAATTATATATTTATTAGGAATAAAATTTCGTTCCCTTCTATTTTACATAAGAATTGTTAAAAAAAAATCTTCAAAATCAATTAAAAAACTTTAATGAAGATTTAAGGCTCAATTAAATTGTTATTAGAAAAACCAGGGATTTTAAGAGAAATAGAGATATTTCTATAATGATCAGTAAAGTGGTCTATAAATGCGAATAATTTGATGAAGTTATCAATACATGTGAAATTAACTTAGTTTAATATATTAAGAAAAAAGAAAGAAAAATATGTACTCATTTTATTAAAAGAAAATAGTATTGAAATGTTAAACATTATTTTTTAGTTGTTGAATCCGTTACGAGTTTTTGAAAGAAAATATTTAAACTTAATAATGATTTTTTTTAAATATCTTTATTATTGAAAAAAACGTTTATTTCCTTTCTTATTAAAATACCCCAGCAACCAGTATATGCATGTGAAATTGACTTGTACATTATTGGTGAATGAAAATAGAGAATAAGATTGACTTAACCTCTTCTTTTCCAATCAAACTCCCAGTAAACAAGTTGCACAACTAGGCTTGAATGCTCCAAGACTTATTTATTTATTTCTGCAGCATAAATTTCCATGGAGTAATAGACGTGCCAAAACCTAACATTAATCTCGAGTTGTATTTTGGTATAAAAAGGGTGCCAAGTATTGGTGTTTGAGGCATTACAGCACTTCTTAAAAGAGTACTTAGTAAATATTTATTGCCTTAAAAGTAGCTTAGCTTGTTTTCTTGCTCCATGGAAACGGCGAATGCCAAAGCTTCTTCCACCATCATGTCTTCAACTTTGTTTCTGCTTTTTGGGTTGCTAATGGCTGTCTTCAAGACCACAGGTCTCTCTTTCATTCCCTAATATTCTCTGTGTTAGTGTTTTTTATATATCTATATAAAGGGATAGGATCAAAATTAACATAAGTTTGGTTTGTTTAATTTTACACAGATTTAAAATTGTTGGATGACCAGAAATAGACTGCTGAGATTAACAATAAAAAATAATAATATATTCACTAAATAAACATAATGAATAAATCTCAACTATCTATTTCATTTTGTACCACAGTCATATATATATATATATATACATACTATACGACGTAAAACTTTTTTAATTTTATATATATTTAAGACCATTGAGTAACATGAACTAGACGATTGAGATTTACTTTGTTTTTTTAGTGAATATATATTTGCTCATTTCCTAATGTTATTTTCAGTTATTTATATTTACTCATCCAATGATCCTAAATATGTATAGAACTAAATAATTTTATGTTGTGTAATTGGATCATATCCCATATATATTTATATATATGTTTGGTTTTCAAAAAAGTAAGTTAAAATTAGACATAATGCAAAAAAATGTCTCTGGTGTTTGATTAAATAGTCACTTTGAGTTTTATTTTTTTAAATATTTTGACCCTAATGTTTCATTTTGGAATAAAAAAAATACCTTTTTGGATAAAAAAATTTTGTCAACAAATGGTTAATACTTCAAAATAAGGATATTTTTGCCCTAAAATAAAGCATTGTCATCAAAATGCTTCTAAAAATAATAAGAGTGAAAGTAATTATTTAATCAAACATTAAAGATTTTTTTACTTTAGAATAAAACATTCAAAGCTAAATTACTTTAAAAGAGAAAAAAAACTATAAACAAAAATAACTATATAATAAAGAATTAAAAACATTATTTTTACATTATACCTTAAAATTAAGCATACGTGGAATTAATACATTGCAGGAGCCGAAGTTGGCGTTTGCTACGGAATGATGGCTCAAAACTTGCCACCTAAAGCAGAAGTCGTAGCCCTTTATCAGCAAAAAAGCATCCAACGAATGCGACTCTACGCTCCGGACAGAGAGGCTCTACAAGCCCTCAGTGACACCAACATCAAGCTGCTGTTAGATGTTCCAAATCCCGACCTCCAACACGTTGCCGCCAGTCAAGCCAATGCAGATCAATGGGTCCAAGACAACGTCAAGAAATACACCACCGTTAATTTCCGATACATTGCTGTCGGGAACGAAGTAAAGCCTTCGGATTCGTTTGCTCAATTTCTTTTCCCGGCGATGCAGAACATTCGTAACGCAGTAGTCGGACAAGGCCTCGGGGACCAGATAAAAGTTTCCACCGCAACGTTTTTCGCTGCTCTTCAAGAATCTTTCCCTCCGTCCGATGGCGTTCTCCATCCCGAATACCAACAACTTCTTGGTCCGGTCATTGGTTTCTTGAGGGACAATCAAGCTCCATTACTTGTTAACACTTACACATACTTCAGCCACAAGGATAATCCTGAACAAGTTGGTCTTGACTATGCTCTCTTTACGGCTCCATCCGTGGTAGTGACCGATGGTTCGCTTGAGTACCAGAACCTTTTCGATGCGATGCTCGATGCCTTTTACTCTGCCTTGGAGAAGGCTGGCGGGGGAGCTTTGGATATCGTTGTTTCCGAAACCGGTTGGCCGTCGGACGGTGGACCGGCCACGAGTGTCGATAATGCAAGGACTTATAACACGAACTTGGTTCGCCATGTGAATCAGGGACAAGGGACTCCGAAGAAACCCGGAAAGGCTATAGAAGCTTACTTGTTTGCCATGTTTGATGAGAACGAAAAAGAACCGGCATATGAGAAACATTGGGGGCTGTTTTTCCCAAACAAACAGGAAAAATACTCGATTAGTTTCAATTAAACTAACCTATATATATATATACACACACCATTTTCATGTCCTCTACATATAGGTGTCATGAAGAAGCCAATATATAGGCCAAATATATCTTCTTACCTATTCATTGTAATGTTTCAGGTTTGAATGTGTGCTGCTTATCCCTTTTCCAAGTGAAATAAAACGGTTTCCTCTATCATATTTAGGGTAAACTACCATTAGTCACCATACTATTGGAATATGTTCTATTTTGGTCACTAAACTAAAAATTTGACACTTAATCACTAATGCTACAGATTAGTTGCAATTTAGTCACTGTCCATTTTAATTGGTATAATTACATATTTAGTTCTAAGACTTACAAATTATATCAATTAAATTCTCCATAATTGCAGACTCTATCAATTTTGCCGCAATCTTAAACAATACAAACAATTATAATTATACAAAATTTAAAATATAAAAAAGTTTAGAAATAAAATAACAGAAAAATACTAAATATATTAAAGCTTCAAAAATATCATTTTCGTCCTTTCATATTTTTTTAATTTGAATGTTTTTTTCTATTATATAAAATTATTAAAATATTTTAAAACTTTAAAAGAATACTTACCAAATTGGAAATAATATTACCATTGGGAATAAGATTACCGGGATGTAAGATTATCATTGGGAATAGGATTACCGGAACGATACATCACTTAACATATTACTGAGAATATTGTATTACATTGTTTGGTTTGTTTAATAGGAATGTAAGATTATAATACTTGGTTGATGGAATATAAGAAAAGAAATATGTATGTTTTACCGAATTGTCCTTGAGATATATTTGTTAACAAGTTAAATTCTTAATATTAAAGTCAAAATATTTACACGAAAGTTCGTAGAAAATAAAATTTTATATCCTCTAATTAATATCTATATATTCAATAAAATTTGTACGCAAATAATTTAATATATATATATATATATATATATATTTTATTTCTTTGAAAATACATAAACATACTTACATCAATATAATTATGTGTTTATTTTTAAGTACTAAGAAATTGAGAGATGTATATACTTACATCGATGTAAGTATGTGTTGTTAATATAGAGAGAGATATACATACTTACACTTGTGTAAGTATCTGTTAATTTGTAAGATATAAAGAGATATACATACTTACATCGGTGTCAGTATGTGTTAATTGTTAAGATATCGAGAGATGTATTGCATCGTTGTAAGTATGTGTTAATTGATACATTTTTTTTAATTTATTCATGCTACATGTATGAGTTGTACAACGAAGTATTATATAAAATTATATTACAAGATTAGTAGAAAACATAAAAATATATAATACATAAAACTTTTTGTAATCATCATATTTTACCCGACTATATATTATATTATTATTTAAATAAAATATTATTATTTAAATAAAATATTATTATTTACATTAACCCAAATACAACAATAAACTCAAAACACATGTACGAATCAAATTCAATTTCAAAATTAAAACCCTAAGCCCACATCTTTAAGACAAGTTAGCTAACTATAACGCTAATCTTGACCGTTGTCGCTGTCAGTCTCCCAGCCGCCGATGAAACCTGTCGTCTTTACTGCTTCACATCATTACATCAGCAACACAGTAAAAAATCAGATCAAATCTAATCTAAATAAAATCAGGGTATTTAATGGGAGCAATGGAGACTTCACCAACTCTGTCTTGATCGTGCTCCTCCCCTACTGATTTGACCAAGCCTCATATTCAAAAGGAGGAGGACAATCAAAAGGGCAAGTAAAAGGTTTTTGAAGGCTTTTGTAAGAAATCATCAGGAGGGTTCTATAAAAATCTCTCGAAAATGTGTAAAAAAAAGGATATTTCTCCGAATTGAAAGCAATACAAACAAGAACATTTAAAAAAAAGGGTTTCTTTCTCCTTCTTAGATTTCTAGTTTTTTTTTTTCATTTTCTTTTCATTTTTTTTTATGAGAAAATACATAAAAGTGAGAAAAGAGTGTTCTCATTATCTTGGTCTCGCTTGAATCGTGCTCGCCGGAATCAGTTCACGGCAGATAGAGAAGAAGGAGGCGACATTTGGTTAAAAAATAAATAAAAAATGAAAAGAAAGAGGAGTGGATGAATATTTCTAGGGTTTAGTTAAAAAATGAAATCATAAAAAACCTAGCCTTTAGCATTCATCTTAACGTGTGTAAAAAAAAGGGAGTAATCGCGTTTAAGCCATCCATCTCTAAGCGCATTTTTATCATTGGTTCGGGGTCATTTTGGTTTCGTTGTGAATTTACACGTCCTTAATGCAAAATTTTCCCTTTTATTTTTGTTCTTTGGATTACTAATTAAAATTGAGAAAATTATATTTTAATCCTCCTACCTTTAGCTTGTGTTTACACTTTCCTCACTGATCTCACGTTTTTTTTGTTTCAGATTTTATGTCTTGATTGTGGCAATTTGCCATTTATTATTTGTTATGCAATCTAGTTAGAAGTTTAGGTTGAATTGAGATTTGACCCCTCTAGTTTACTTGTGTTTTCCCATTTTAGTCACTGGGGCTTTGTTTCTTTATTTTATTTTTAAATTTTAATACATTGTTTTCATTTATTTTTATCTCGATCAATTTTTTATATTATTTAATTTTAGTTTTGTCATCACATTTCTTTTCATTTTATTTTAGTCCTTTTTCTTAATGTATTTCAATTTTAATATTTCAATTTTAATTTTTAAATTTTAATTTCTCTATTTGTTTCAATTTACACTCCAATAACTTTTTGCTTTGTTTTTAATTTAAGAATATAGTTTTGTGTCCACCATGTTTACTAATTGTATTACATTTTTCCCTTAAAAAAATATTTCCTGCATATTTGAGCTCTGCATATTTGAGCTTTGGTTTCCATAACTTCATTTTTTTTTATTTTAGCTTCCCTTAAAAAACGTCCCCAACTCTTGATTTTAATTTAGTTTGATTGTCTTTCTTTTCAGTCTTAGTTTACTTGTTATTATTTCGTATTTTGCATTTATATTTTATCTACTTTTTCGTACTATCTCATCTATTTTATACTTGTATCTATTTTCAAGAATGAATTTTGTAGAATGGGCATAGAAAGTACGACCTATCGAGGTAGTATGATTTATATGACATTCGAACGAAAACAACTTGAAAATAAATCGAGTATATTTTAATAAAAATAAATGAATAATGGTTTTAAATAATGATGGTCGTATGCATGTCTTTATCATATGATTGAATTTAATTCTTATTCATGCTTGATATGTGACCCCGAATAATTAATAAAATGAATATTTTCGTATAGGGAAGAGATAGATGTGATAGTTTTCCCATCAGAGGACGTGCAAATCTCATGATCTCTTCTCAAAATAGGAAATATTCTTTAAAGTTCTAAATAAATTAATTGATAGGCGATAGAATAATTAGTGAGATTATTTTTTATTTCAGCATATTTATTTCCACTATCACGATGAAGTATGGGCTATTAGGTACTAATTTTGTGCGCTATGAGGGTGCATACCCTTCCCTACGCGTAACAGACTCCCGAGCTCTTAATAACGAATCTTTGGTTAACACAGATTAATTTTTGTCTTTAAAATGAATTTTCTTAAAATTGTTTTAAAGACGCTTTTAGTTATTTGACCTACCTAACCCAAAGGTCGATGACGACTCCAAATTTATTTGATTTCAAAACCCATCGTCATTTCATAAAATTCGATACTAAATTTTATATTGTTAAAAAATGGTTTTGATAGCTTGGCGATTTCGCTGGGGACTTGAGAGTCAGGTCGATAGTCTCTTATACATCATCGTGATATTGGATATTAGAAAACTTAAATAAAAAATTATTTTATAGTTTACTTTACTGTTTATTGGTTAATTCTTTCGAACTATTTATTAATAGTTGTACTAATCTTTGAATTTTTTGATTTTCAGATTTACCGAGTTTTTTTCAAAAGTGCTTCTTTTATGTTGGGCGTCTTGTTTGGTCAAAGGTTGGTATGCTCCTCCTCACACACTTCACTCGCATCACATGATATAAGCTCTATACTTGAGCTCCGTCTCGATTAAGCAAGGGAGAGTGCTTTGCTTTTTTGGTGAATTTATTCCCCGTATGAGCTATAGCTACTAGCCTCTAAGATACACACCTTGTGCCTACATGGGAATTTAATTCCTCGTATGGGTACAAGGAGGTGGATCTCCTCGAATTGAACTCGTTCTGCTTGAAGCCTATAATGGGTGAGGATCGAGGGTTTGGCAGCCCAAGAGGACACCAACATCAAGGACAATTCAAGAACCCATTTCCCATGGAGTTGAAACCATACATATAATGAACCTTAGAATGGTCATCATAGGTAGAGCCATGTCGAACCTCTGTTCGTCAATCAGTACCGAAATAAGTATACACAAAGGAGAAGTGTACTTTAACCTTTCTTCTCTTTACTTTAAAGTTATATGACAGATTTATTTGTTTCGAATTAGAGCATGAGAACTACAAAAGCATGTGGCTAGGTTTTGTTTGCTTGAACAAATACATGAGGGTAGAAAGCATATTTGGGTAGGACTTATTTCAATAAACCATGTTGGGTTGATACCATAATGGGTAGGTGCTAAATTCATCCCTAAATATCATTTTTTTACTTTTATTAGTTACATTGCCTATACTGACTCATTTCCTCTTTTTTTGTTTATTATCTTTTGCCTTTTTCCACCACATCATTACATAATACAAAGACGTCGATCCACAATTGAATGTCTAAGTAAAAAAAATTTAAAGGGAGAAACAAGTTTTCAATCAAGTAGTCGCATACATAAACATACAACGATGGCTAGGAGAAGCTCAAAGAGAGCAAGGCGGAAGCTCGCCAAGAGAATCAAGCCTCAGATTCAATCGATAAAATGACTTCCAAGATTATAGGGCATCTCAAGGGCATCATCCAAGATAGACCATATTTTGAATAGAGCCTCTACATAATTCCAAGGGATCATATAGCACTTGAGATACCGAGTTTCTAAGGACGAAATCCACGTCGAAACATCGGTGTACTTTAGACTAAGCGCCCAAGCGAAAGCATATATGTAAAATAGATTACTT